TGTTCAGCATCTCAGCTGCGGAGGGCAGCGCCACTGGCCCTCACATGCGGGATCCGAACCGGGGCCCTCTGGCATCCCAAGCGAGTTCCCAACCATCGCGCCACTCGGCCGGCCCTCTTTTTTTCTTTCTTCCCCTCCCAGGCAAACAGGGCAAGTGGGCCTACAGATTCATTTCACCACCAGGGCCCCTGTGGCTGGCTTGGAGGGGCCCTGGAAACCGAAGATCTATGAGCATCTGAGCTCCCGGAATGGGGCGTGCAGTCACAGCTACCTGATGAATCCAAGCCTCGATTATACACTGCCTTCCCCAACCCCTCTCTATTTCAACTCCGGCCTCCAGGAAGACAAAATGTTCCCTAATCCCCACAGAGCCTTTCAAGGGCCACAGCTACTGTCCAAGATGCTAGCGGTAAAGGCATGGCAACGACCCAGGGCCTGCCTCCCTCAGCCCTCAGGACGTGGCAACAGGCTAGAGACCTGAGCACCAACTGCTGCCTCTTCTGCCCTATCCCACATGTGTCCTGCATTGAGCTTCCCCGAGCCTCAGTTTCCCCCTCAACCAGAGACAGCCTAGTTTCAGGCAACCATTACAGTTATGTATCCATCTTTTCCCCACCACTGAATAGGATCTTCAGGGCAGCTGCCTCATAGAAAGTGTTCAGTCAGTACACAGGGAGTGAGGAGGCAAGGGAGTAAGAAAGGAAAAGATGGAAGGAAGGAGGGAATGAAACTGAGTCTTTCACGGTTCTGCATTTCCTCACTCTTGAGTATTTACTAACTTTATTCAGCTGGAAATAATTTTAAATGGCAATAAAACATATTACACATTTTTAAAAGTCTGCTTTTCTGTGGTACTCATGGAAATGTGTTCAAAATCCAGTGTGACCTCAGAAGGTTGTATCTCTGAGACCAGCTGAATGTATTTCGGCCCCACAATTACACCCAGGCCTATGGCATGCCTCCAGCATCTGACTTCTAGTCCATCTCAAACCATCCTTCTTTCACTAATTAACAGCTCCAGGCTGGGCCTCCCTACAGAAGGAAGGCTTCACCTGTAGGTCATGAATCTTTAAAACAGGATTATTGGTGTTGGGGCAAGAAGGTGGGTAGAAGGTAGAGGAAAAGGTCCTTGCCTGCCACCCTCCTGTGGAGACTACTGGTTTTCCCTCTGTGTTTTTTGAGTGCCTAAATGCAGCTCTAAGCACATAACTGGTATTAAATGTCATCCTCTATGACTGTTTACAAATCAAGAACTCAAGGTCACGGAAGGAAGGAAAGGTGACATTTGGATATAGGAAAGAATACCTGCTTTCTCCCAGTCATGAGCCCCTCAAAATAAGCCTAGGGCTTGAGGTCTCATGTTTCATAATATAAGTGGCTAAGTACACACATAAGAAAAGGAGGCAGAAAAGCCCCAGCATCAAAGACAAATATGATGAATAGCTCTGACAAATTATTTTACATAGAAGAAAGAGATTAATTGAAAAAAGAGATGTGCCAGGTCTCCTAACTATCCCAGTTCCCTCTAACTGAATGAGGGAGCAGTGAGGGAGTGAGAAGTTGTCAGGTAAACCAGGAGTGCCTGCCCTAGAGGATAGCTGCTGCCCATCTCCCTTCATGTTCTTCCTGAGGGGCCCAGGGTTCCATCATATTAGTGATACTGACGACCACACTCAATAGGGAAGGTGGCAGAGAGGGGAACAGAAGGCAGCCATGGAGGGCAGGAACACTACAGGGGGGAAAGGAGAGGAAAGAGAGAGTCCTGCTGCACCCCTACCTCAAGAAGACTGCAAAGAGCAGTGTAACTCCTCGAGGGCTAGGAGAAGTGAGAGCACAGGTGGAGAGGTGAGAACAGGCAAAGCCACTAGACAAATGCCATACCAGAGAGGAGAGATTCTGGTTGACATCATATTATAGCCCTGTTAGCTTTGCAGAGGATTTTCTTATTCATTATTTCAGGTCATCTTCACAGTAATCTAGAAAGGTCTATAAAGGAAATAGTATGTACATTTAACAGGAATGTTAATGAGGAAATTGAGGCTCAGAGGAGGAAGTGACATACCTGAGGCCACTCTGCTGGTTGGTGACAAAGCAAAGCTCCAGTCTCCCAGGACAGACCACTGCTGGGAGGCAGTGTCTCCCAGATTGGAATAAATGGAGAAGTTTATTGAAAGGTTCAAATTCATAAACACAGAGAACAAACGGATCTAATTATAAGATGAAAAGAACCCTGTCCCAGGATATTTTGGAGTAAAAAAAGGGGGGGCAGAGATAACACCAGCATATACCCTGGTAATCTAGTGTAAAGACACAATCCCAAATGCAAACTATTTTTTTAAAAAGTCCAAGATACCATCTGTGGAGCACGGGAAAGGTCATCTCAAATAACTATGGGTCAGAAGTTAGACAGCCAACCAACAGTGAGTAAAAGAAGTGCTCTAATTTTTCAAATTGTCAGGTTTATACAATGGCATTGAGCTGAGTGATTCCTACACCTATTGTCCTTGTTTTAATTTATAATCAGTTAAAGATCATCCCCGGGCAAAAAAGTACACCAAGAGGACAAGAAGACTCTGAAGGAGAATATGAAGAAAGCATGAGACACAGGCTTTCACCAAAGATGAGGCACATCAAGGACGTAGCAGAGGGTCTAGCATAGAGCTAATGACTAATAAATGTTAGCTGCTAGTAGTAGCAGTCGTATAGTACTAGTAATAGAAAGCTAGGTCTTTCCTCAAAGCCAGCTTCCAAGTTGTGGCCAAAACAACCCAAACTCAGTTAGCTGTGATCTAAACTGCTTCTTAACGATGAGGGCAGATTCTGTCCTCAACCTCTTATCGACACCATCTTCAACAGTTGCAGAGCTCTATTCTGTTAACAGGTAGCCTAACACACTCCAGAGGAGGTGGCTGGAGTAGAGAAATATGGGGTGGGGGTGCTGGGAGGGCCTGTGTTCTTTGTCCTAAATCCATGGACAGGAAGCACATGGACCATCTCCAGCCCTGAAGGACTTCCCTGTACCACCAACCCCACCCCAGCCCACCCTAGTCTCCTTCAGCCAGCAGAAGTCCACAGGTAACCACCAAGACAAAGTCACCAGCCCACCTGTCACCTCCCAGAGGTTGTTCCGCCTTCCTTCAATCCTTACACATAGTCAGCCCACAGACCCCCCAAGGCTGGCTAACTGCCTTGAAAGGGACAGCCTTAGGAAGAAACTGGGGAGGGGATAAAGCTCAATGGCTCCATTTTCCACCCTCCGCTCCCACACACTTAGGCCTCTCCACTCCCTGCTGGTCTTTCCTTCCCTCTTTCCTAGGATTGCTAGAATGATTTGTTCTGAACAGCGACAGGTTTATAGGTTAGCCGACACCTCCGCTCTGTGGAATTTTAATTAACTTCTCCCATCGTCAGTATGCTAAGGAACGGGGTCTCCATTCTCTGGGGTCAGCAATGTGTTTCAGGTCCTGCTATATCAGCCGTCAAATTGAAGAATTAATGACGTGGCTAATCGGCTCTAATTCTTTAGGAAGAAAAAAATTTGAAAGGGAGTTGTGGAAGGGGGCAGAAGGAGGGGTGCAAGCTCCATGGGGTGAGGAGAAGGAAGGAAGGGGGTTGAGCAAAGAGGGGAATTGACTCTCTCATAAAACAAGTGACTGACTCGAACCCAGTGTTTCAGAGTAGCAGCCCTACTGCTTTCCCATTGATCATCTGGGTGGGGAGAGAGGGGGAAAGACGTGGGGAAGCCTCCAGGTAAATACCGTGACCGAGCAGGTGCAGGACGGGGCATCTATGTACCCTGCTGGGGAGGAGAGGGGCTCTGCCTTGGTCCAAGAAAGCAGAAGCAGGATGCAAAGCTCGCTCATGCATCAAGCTAGAGAAATACCAGTCAGGCCAAAGGGCAGGGGAAAGCCACCATCAAAAACTTGGCACTTCTGCTACAATGGTCAACGAATCTACTCCACATACATATCTTTGGATGAGGGCCCAATGGGACGTAGGCCCCAAGCCTCTCCTGATGATTCAATTCCATAAGGGATACTCCAGAAGACATTTTCCAAAGGGAACAAACCACTGATATGAGTTGTGAGAGCTGGATGGCTGGTGCTGTCACCTCCTAGAGGTGCTGAGAAGCCTCTACTTTGGGACCGTCGTGAAAGGGCATCTTCCCCAGAAGCAAAGCTCTTGTAACAGTTGAACTCAGTTATATTCTAACACAGTATCTTTTCCTTTACTTTCCTGGGGCTAGATGCTTAGAAAGTTAGCCCCTAGAAGGTTATCTCAACGCCACACATATATAAAGTGAGCTTCAGGCCTCAAGTTTCTGGAGGATTTCCAAAATCTCCAGGAGAATAGCTCAAAGCAACCTAGACTATATAGGTGGAAGATTTCCTAGCCCACCTGTCCTTGTAAAATAAATGCATTATTAGATGGGACAAAATCATATCCAAAAATGTCTCCCTTACCTGAGTAATGGGCTGATAGCAATGGACCAGACTCGGTCTTCAGTTTGGATGGTGTGTAAGCACTGCCCGAGCCGACCTGAGGCCAAAGGCCATACCTAGAAACAGGAGAGGAAATGCTCTCGTTGGCATTGCCTGGGATGGGGGTGGGGGGAGGAGAGATGCACCAGGTCCCTAGTGGGGTGGGGAAATGGAGGATCCTTTCTGTCCTGTACACATGGAGATCAGGGTATCAGCAGAGGGGCCTCTCCAGCTTCTGGCTAGCCTACCCCCCAAATGGACCCTGATTCCCAGTCCTAACCACCATCTTTTACTTCCACCCGATAGCCCTTACTTACCAGCCAATTTTACACCAGGGAAATCCCAAGTTCCACATTCCTCAGCTGACACTTTACTGGGAAGAGTGAGTAGATGGGGCTCGGCCCTCTTAGCAGCCTCCCCATGTTTGTGGATTTCCCTTTCTACTATCTCTCACGAAGATTTTACTTTGGGGAGGTGGGAGTCGGGGGAGGGAGATCGAGGCACAGTATGGAAGGATAGAGACAGAATTAGAGTAGAATTAGAGGGGAGCAAAAAGAAAGATGCAAGGGAAGGAAAGAATGGAAGAAGGGAGACTTCAAAGTAGGAAGGTGGTGTGTTGTTGTTTGTTTGTTGATAATGCCCAGGATCCAATGCTATTCATGTCAGCAGGGAATTTAGCACCTAATGTCACCTAAAGTAGCAGAAAAGCTTAACTCTTTTAAGCTTCCATATCTTCTACAGGTTAAAAATATTGTTTGGAGCACATTATCTGGTCCCTATCAGTCAGGAATGTACATTAGCAGCCACTCTGGGCTTAACGCTAATCAACACTCACAGAGCCCTCTCAGCAGTCAGTGCATTTAGAAATCTCCCATTAAGCATGAGGCCCCCATACCTTACCCTACCCCAGTGACACACACAGGGAAATAAGCCTCTAACCAAACAGAAAGGAAACCTCAAACACACAGGACTGTCCACAGACAGCAGCCAAGGAGGGATCCTGAGGCAGCCAGAGGGATCAATGACCTCTCAAGGTCCCCGCAGTGCTATAAGGGGAACACACAAGTCAGTCAGGACCTTAGATGGAAGAACTTTCAGGAAACATTCCTTGAGTTTAAGGGCTAAGTAATGGAGTGGGGGTGGTCCTGCCTTCTTAGGGTCACATGATATCTCTACCCTATAAAAGGAGAAAGTGTTTTAGATTTTGTGTGCATCATGGGGGGAGGAGGGTGTGTTACTTTTCCTAACATAAAGAATAGAAAAGAAATTTAACAAGATCCTGAATGAGGATGGGCAGAAAACAAAGGTAAATAACCACGACTTTCCTGGCGTGCGGTGATCCCAGCTTTCTCGTCTGGATCTGCAGTCAGGCCACTTTGATAGATACTAGATGTACTTTTTTTTAAAAATCTATTTCTTCTGCTTTTCTTTTTTTTAATTAATTAATTTCAGGTGTACAAAACAATGTCTTAGTTAGATATTTACACCCCTCACAAAGTGATAACTCCCCTCCCCCTGGATGCACTTCTAATGTCCTCTTTTAGACAGCCCCAGATTGGAAGAGAGCTCTACCTTTTCCCTGACACAAACTCCCTAGGAGGCAGGTTCTCGCATGGGTGGTGGGAAGACACTAAGGACTCTGATTACAAAATCTATGGGGGCAGCCCTAGGCCTGAATTCACTAGTGCCCTCCAGGGAATGAGCTGGTGGATTACTAGACTGTGCAAACCACAGAACAAGGCTCCTGGTCTCCAGGAGGGGCCTAGGGAGCATACTGCCAATTCTGAGCATCATCTGGAGAAAGTGGCCAGCAGCACACTACCCACCAGAAACATGAGTATCAAAAAAGAGCCATCCCTGGAGAATATATAACTCAGTGGGAATGGACATTTATACAGTCCTTTTAAAAAGTAGTTGGCAATATGAATCAAGACCCTTAAAATGACCAAAGCCTTCGACTCAATAATTCTATCGCTGAGACTCTATCCTAAGAAAATAATCCTAAAATGAAGAAAAACATAAAAATATTCCGTGCAGCCTGCAATAGCAGAAAAAGCATACATGGGCTTTGGAATCAGACAAATCTGGGTTGAACTCTAGGTGTTATTATCTCCCATCTTACAGATGCTTCATAATTTCTTAGCCTCAGTTTCCTCATGTGTAAAATGGGAAATTATACCTATCTTTCAGGGTTGCACTATGGAAAAGTGAAGATATGTATAAAGTACCCAGCACAGTAGCACAGTATTTGTTAGGTATTAGGCATCGATAATGGTAGTTCTTAATACTATAGGGAAAAAAAAAATCGCTACAAACATCCACCAATAGGAAAAATAGTGACTAAATTATGGTAAGTCCATTGTGAAGCCATTAAAGATGACACAAATAATTTGTAATAACAATGGAAAACCTTGTAAAATAAAGTATACTGGTATCTAAAATATATTATGAGCATAATATAGGGGGAAAATTACCCTAAAGGATAAAATGAGAAAATGAATAAATGTAAAGTGTTTAGCACAGAGTCTGGTTTCATTCTATACTGTTACAAAACAAACAAGCAAATCTATGCATTGAAAAGTAACTAAAAAAACAAAAACAAAAAAAACCCCAAGTTCAAATGTTCCCTCTTCATCAAGTCTCCCCTTCCATGCCAGGTGTGATCCCTCCACCCTCTGAACGTTCTGTCTCTGTCCCTAGAGCCTTACACGTCAGTCTTTGGCCACTTCCAATCACCTTCATTGCTAGTGCAAGCATGTCTCAGCTCCCCTTAAGGAGAGAGACTGTATCTTTGTTCCCTTTGAAGAGCCCCAGTGCCCCTGTGTAGGCACATATCAGAATGAATGAAAGAACAGAGAAAAAGGAAGAAATGAAGTACTGGCCCAGGCCCACCAAGAACATAAGCTACCATCCTATCACATCTCAGGATGGGGCCAGTCCCACTAAAGCCCAGAGAGGCAACCCAAGCTAAGTCACAGTACATTTGAAACTAGGGTTGGGGGAGGGGAAGGAAGAGGACTTTCCGGGCAGTCCCATTGCAGAAAATGTTTGAGTTCCCTTCACCCCAATAAAACAAGTATCTTTCCTAAAACACAGTACATATTTGGGTATAGATGTTTACAAACAGGCTATAGATGTTTACAGGCAAACACGACAGCTCTTAAATAAGTTCAGGTGTATTAGAAGCCTGAAGAAGCAGCTGTATAATTGCCTCTGAAAAGAAACGGAAACTCAGTTATAAAAGACTGACTGTGGGTAGTGCAGAAATGGGCCAGGAGGATGAAGGTGGCTACATGCAAAGACAATAGTGCAGAGGAAAGAACTGAAGCAGCATCCAGCAGCCAGAAAGAGGAGCTAGCCTGAAGGTCACTGGGGAGCCCCAAACAGGTGACTAGCTTTCTGAAGTTGAAGAACCAGCAGGGAGAATTCTGTCACTGACCTAAAAGAAGTCCTCAAAAGGAATAGGATATACTACAGTGACAATTTTAGGATTAAACAGTAACTATTTCAATGCTTTTAAGAAACTAAGTCTCACTAAATTGGGTTGAGTCAGTACTTAAAACATGAAACTAACCCAATATTCCAGATAAAATCATTCTTTGACTGTGAGCAGTCTATACCCCCGAATTGCTACCTGTGGTCAAAAAGCTTAGTTTTATACTGCTCAGGGTATCAGAGCACAGAGAATAGGACAGAAGAAAGAGATGTCACTTAAAAAAAAGAACCAGGGGAAGTTTGAACCCATGACAAGAAGATGCTATAATGAGATAGGACTATCTAGGTCACACATGCCACAAAAGGTTTCTATGCAAATTGACTTCTGAGCAGCACAGCAAGTTAAGGGCAGTCTCTTTGCAAGGAATGGCACAAAGACAGTGACCAATCAGAATTCTGAAGTAAGTATGGGGTATGGGAAGCAGGTGATAGGAAATTCAGTTTCCATTTTGCTTGAAAAGATTTTCTGGATTTCTCAGGCTCTCTGTGCTGGTGAGCATGTTGCTGATAAAAACAAAGTGTAAACAAAGGGAGGAGAAACTTCCATAACTAAAAAGGAACATATTTAGCTCTTTTTATATAAATTAGTGACATTTTTCCATGAAGAAATAGTCACCAAAGGGTACACAGGGTCAGAAAAGTTAAGTGAGTGAAGACGCAACTTCCCTCTCCTGAGTCCTCTCCTATGTGTCTTAGAGACCTGTTTGCTAACATGAACAAGCATTTTGTTCCTGTTATCACTACGGAGTCTCCAAATGCTGGGAAACAGACAAGCAAGATACTACCAGGCCTCCTGTACCATCAACTGAATTGTCAGCAAAGTTCCCACAGCAACCCCAAAGGATCAGGCATGTGTTGAGCTGCTGGATGTAGGGATGGAGAAAGTTCTTCTCTATCTCATGCATAGGAGCCTATTTGACCTAGACATGGATGAGCTGAGTCCATAAAGCAGGGGTCACACTACTTATCAGCCTCATTCTGCTAGGTCTTGTCAGATGTCTGACTGGAGACCAGGCAACCTGGCAATGACACAACAAATAACACCCTTCTCTTGTTGTCTTTCTACTGCTTACTGACCACATCACTCTCCAGAGAAGCAGTCAAAACACATTTTAATTATCAGCCTGATTGCTTATAAACAAGGTGGTGAAAAATTAACCTCCCTAAACAGACAGCAAGCAAAAAGAGGGAGATTTTAAAATAAAATATTGGGGTCAGAACTCAACCCACAAACTTGAGGAAACTCAGCTCAGGGAGGAAAAGCTGGCCAGGCCCTCTGTTTTTGAGTTCATGCCACATTTCAAGTGAGTGGCAAGCTTCCCAGCCACTGTCCACTCCTATCCCAGGCCAGCTGGCAGCGACACAACCTGGCATGGCAAGCTGCATGCCAGAGGCACATAAGTGAGTCCTTTATTGTGTCGTTCCCTCCCGCCCCCACCCAATGCTCTCAGCCAATCCCACGATTCAAGGCCCTATCCACCCTCTCCCACCCCACTCCCTATAGACTGAAGGGAATAACCGTATATAAGGGGGTGACCACCTCACCTTGGCCGTCCTGTCCCTGGAGCCACTCACAATGATGCCCCCTTTGCAGTCCACACAGTTCACCTCCTGTTCATGAGCCGAGTACTTGACAGTGAAGGTGCTATGAATCTTATGAACGCCAATCTTCCCATCTCTAGGAGAGAAATAAGGAGTTCACCCCCAATAGCCAAACAGTCTCTCTGTAGGAAGAGAACAAGTCTACAGAAACAGCCCAAGTCTCCAATGACATCCAAATTTGCTAAGCTTTAGGCAATTCAGTCCAGTAAGGTTCCGAGCTTCTAGATACCTTTACTTCTTCAGTCCACTTGGGGCTGAACAGACCTGAGAGACAAAACAAATTTCCCCTTGAGAGTATCAAGACCACCTTCACTTTTCATTAAAGGCTCTTCCTGTTTTCCTTCTTCAGCTAACCCTATTAAGTGCCTTTGGTAAATCTCTCTGCTTTAAATGGAAAAAACCGACTACTCCTTCTACTACTCTCCCTCCTCATCCCTTTGGAATTGGGACAGAAAAGTCGGAGGCAGGCGGTCCCTGAAGAATCCTAAGGAAGAGGGTGGAAGGAGAAGCCTGCAGCACTTACCCTCCTGCACTGACAATATGCGAGTTGGCCAGCACAAAGTGGCAAACGTCCTCATCATGCCCAGCAAAGACTCCCAGGGGCTGACGGTTCAAGCTGGCACCATCTGGGCGGAACTGATAGGCCAAGATGAAATTAGCCTGGGATATGTACAGAGAATCACCCTCTAGCTGCATCCAGGGCATCTGACTGTAGAGATGGAAAACAAAATGTAACGATCATCAAGATACAGCATGAAAACTCGACTCCAATCTTTGGAGGAGCTGAGCAATCCGCACCTTAGCAAGGATGACCTGCAAGGCTAAGTCTATACCTCACCCCGCTTCTTCAAAATTACCTACACTTAGGCTACCATCAGAAAACTACAGTGATTGAGGTTAGTGGTGACCTAAACTTCTTTGGGCTATCTAAAAGACAGTCATAATTAAAATACCAATTAAACATCACTTTTAATTGAAGAATGCTTAAGACTTGAGTTACTGGGTAGGCAGAGCTTAGAAAATGCAATGATTGTGGGGTGGGGAGGGGCAAAGAGAAACCTTCCACTCAGGTGAAGTAATTGTCTTTCATTCTGTATCCTCACTGATTTGATTCAAGGTTCCAAGACTCCCATACATGCCTCTTTCCCAATAAATTCGTTAGGGTGTGATAGAGAAAAGAGAAGAGTGAGCCCAAGGAAGCCCCATTCCCTTGTCCTACTAGTGCAAGGGGCCATTTATAAGTGAAAAGAATAAAGCCATTCGGGACAGGATGCTAATGTACTGATTAGATACCTAGATCCTCATAGGGGATATCTACATTACTGTATTAGAGGGTAAGTGTGGCAGTGGAAAAACACAGCCCCAGGGCAGTCTGCTACAGTTCAGGGACTAGAGAGAAATAGTCAGCTCTCATAGGCAGCTGATAAAAGAAATCCACAAATAGGTAAAGATTCCCTCTACAATCTGGCAGGAGGAAGAAAGGTTAGAAGTCACAGACCAGTCCTGTGGCATAGAGTGAGCTTTAAGAAGAAAGAAGACTGCCAGAGACCAGGCTCTCTGGTGCAGACAAAGCCCCTTCCCCAAAGTAGACACCTCAACAGCCTGTCCTACTCCACAAAGGGGTCCTGGAGCTATGAGGTACCAAGCAAAGCACAGGGACAGCTGATTCATGCCCATTTACAGAGACACCATCTCCCAATGCCAAGCCTGTCTGAGCAAACTGGGCTGTGTTTCTTCCCCAGACTCCTTAATACAAGCGTCATGGGAATGTGGAAAAGTTCTGCAAATTGACTTGACGGGCCATTAAATGCAGCTTGGACTTTGTAGTAACTGAGTTTCTGCTCATGAGGTTTTTACAAGTGTGTGCATGTATTATATGGAACATGCGTAGAGTGTGGGTAGATGCCTGCATTCTCACTCAATATGCACACCCCTCTTCAACATCCTCTTGCACGAGTCTGTGGCACACTCAAGTGGGCAGCAGGCAGAGGGGTTTGGAATTCATGTGTTTAGAGCCATCTGGTAAACAGCCATTGCCTAGGACAAGAAACCAGGTTCATGCCAGGTGAACAGTGGAGAATCCCAGGGCAGCCTGGTAACTGTTTTGTGTGTTTATTTGCCAAACTGCTTGAAGCCAGCCCAAAAAGACGCCAAGGACAAAACCTTGATAGAGAAATAAACTTAACTTTCTGGTGTTAAAAGGCAAAAGTGGGCAGGAGAGAACAAAGTCCTTCCTCGTAAAGAACCATGTTTCTCCCCTTTAGTTTCTTTACCATTACCACCACCACATAATCCATGGCAACCGATGTCATTAAATCCAGCAGAAACTGGACACAAGCAAAACAGAAAGGGTCATCAGGTGAAGAAGCCTGCCTGTGTATCAGCACAGGTAGAGGTCAACCTGGAATGAGGAATCATGATGTTCCCTATCCATTCCAACCAATCAACAAGGAGCACTTTTTTGGTAAGGAGTCAAAAAATAACTGTGAAATAAATTTAGCATTGTTGAAGCATAAAATTTATGGTATTGGCAGTGCCAAAGCCATTATCTAAATTTCCTGGCACTTTTTCTAAGCTCTGCCTCCTGTAACAGATATAGTCAAACCTTTAGATTCTATTTTGCCTTTTATTAAACTAAAGGAGAGGGCTATAGGAAGCCAAGAGTGAAGGTGTAACTCCCTAGAGTAGAGGATTTAAAGAAAAATAATTGTAAAACAAGATGGGTTGAAGTATTGGCTTCATTTATTTCTTCTGATGAGGCACATTAACAGTGATTACCTCTGAGTGGTAGGATTACAGCTTGAGTTTTATTTTCTTCTTTAAACTTTTCTATAGTTTTCAAATTTCTACAATAAACATTTATTTTTATAATCGTAAAAAATAAGGAATTTGTTAAAGTACACTTTTTTGTAATCCTTTTTTTAAAGGTGAAAAAAAGTTGTGCCTCTCATGCCCCCTTTGTGGTAGTTAAAGGATCACCAGGGCCATACCACCCAGGACAGGCACATTTACATTCTAGCTAGGACCAGATTTTTCACTTCCCAGCATGCTTTTCTGTCCCAGGTAACTTTTAAAAAGTCAAGAGGCTACTGACCTGCATCTCCATTTCATCAGGATCCCCTGTCGGCAGCGCCCCAGCCTCCAGTTCTGAGACACCTTTACTCGTCCCTTCACAGGTACACCGGCCATCCTGTGTCCAGACAGAACAGATAATCCCATCACTACAACTCATTGCCAACCAGAGAAAATTCCATGGGTTTACAAGTCAGGACACAGGAACATCTAGAATATATCTGGACATAAGTGAAGAGGTTAGGAGACAAGAAAGGGATAACTCTTCTCTCTCCATACTAGGATTCCCAAGAAAACCAAGGAAAACAGCCTGTCCTTTAAAGTGTCTATAGCAGCGGTTCTCAACCTGTGGGTCGCAACCCCTTTGGGGGTCGAACGACCCTTTCACAGGGGCCACCTAAGACCATCGGAAAACAAAAAGATATTTACATTACGATTCATAACAGTAGCAAAATTACAGTTATAGAGTAGCAACGAAAATAATTTTATGGTTGGGGGTCACCACAACATGAAATGTATTAAGGGGTCGTGGCATTAGGAAGGTTGAGAACCGCTGGTCTATAGTGACGCCAAAGCAACCTAATGGAGAAAGGATGACAAAGAGTGCTAGAGCCATGGGGAAAAAAACCAACCCTGACCCCTATTTCACACCATACAGAAAAACTAAGTCAAAATATGTCACAGTCCTAGACATAAAGTCTGTGGATAAAACTGGGTATCAACAGGGCAAAAAACTGATTTAGATTCTATCTCATATCACAATATGATAAATTCCCAAAAAAGGAAGAGTGAATTTCAAATAGTTTTTTAACTCGATGATTTTAAAGCATTGAAATTTTAAATACTGCACAGAAGAAAAAAGAGATTCAAATGAAAGCAACAGAGTGGGGCAAAAACAATTAATACCACAGATACAAGTTTTATACCTAAAAGTTTTAGGGGACTGATAAAAATCTATTAGGATGACACCCTGTCTCCAATACCCTGTCATCCATATCCAAACAGCAGATAAGAATAATTACACAAGTGTTCACAGAATGCAACTTGTCTGTTCCTCTTCCTCGATTCCCCCAACGCTGTTCCCCTCCCCCAATAAAATCTTTTTTAAAAAAAAGTAAATAATAGTTTACAGACATGTACGTTAAAACAATTATTAAAGTACCACCTCACATATATTAAGTGGAAAAACCAGACACTAGCTTTGGTTTGATAGAAGGGTTTGGATTTGGTTATATATTGCTAACAGTATACTGGTACAGCCTTTCAGAAAGGAATTCTGTTGAGAAAAGTTGTTAAATGACAGCTTCAACCTAGCATCCCCACTTTGGGCACTATATCACTAAGAAATAATTCAAAAGAAAAATATATTTTTACAAAGATATTTATAGTTGCAGCTATATATTTAGAGCTAAAATCTGGAACTAGCCCAAATATCTGTCTGTAGGGGAAAATGGTATACTAATGCAATGGAATATATTGTCACGAGAAATGACAAATGTGAGGACAGCAAAATATTTTAGAAATGACTATAACAAGGAATGGTCATTTTAAAACTAAGTCAAATTTATAAAGGTAGAGGTAAGGAGATACTACATAAAATTATGTCTCCATAAATAATAGGTCAGAAGAGGTAAATAGATGGTACTTCAGGAAGTGAGCAATGTTTTCAATATATCTCATAATTATTGCTAGTTAGGTCTTTCCATTTACCTCTAACAAAATAGTAGATTAAATGAAGTTATGGCAAAGTATAGAATGCAGGCTTAGGACACTGGGACCTAAACTTGGTTATCTAACTTCTCTAATTGTCAGTTTCTTCATCACTAAAACAAATGAGGTGTTTTAAAGATGACAACTAAACCAAAATACAATATAAGTTATAAATCACTACAAGAAGGTTCATAATTTTTACATAAATATAAATATATGTAGTGATTAATATCCATTAATGGTGCCATCTCTAAAGCTAATCCAATAATCATGTTTTTCTTTTAATTTAATTATAACTATTAGAAATTGTTCTTCTAATGTCAAACTTAGTACACTTTCAGGCTGAATGATTAGGATGTGGGTGTACACAATGTTAAAGCTAAAATAAATTAATGAATTTATCCATTGGGTGAATATGGTCCTTGGTTTCACATTACTAATAAGCAACCTATACTACCAGCTAGAAGAGAACTGAGGACAGTAGAAGATTGTCAGCAGGATGGACCAAAAGAACTGAATTCTTTTTTTTCTTTTCTTTTTTCTGTGGCTTCTGGTAAGACTTTTTTTAATCTTTGTCTTTCTTTTCAGCAGTGTTCCATTGCCTGTTGCTACATAACAAACAATTCAGTGGACAGATTGTGTTTTCCAAAGATGACTGCCACAAATAATTCCCACCTCACATGATGTTCCAGGACCTTGCCCTTTCCCTAGTAGATAGAGCCAAAAAACTTTCCTTGCACCTGAGGTCTTTGTGTCTGCCTCAACCAATAGAGTACAGTTGAAGCGATGCTGTAACAACTGAATTCTTAATGAAAAAGATTAGACTCCCTGTCAAATCTTATCAGCAAATCTCTCCCAGATATAAAAGAGGGGATTGTTTGTATATAGTTAACCTCTCCTCTTGAGTTAGGTCTAAGTTCAGAGGTAAAGGTGAAACCAAAAATTGAATATTCTGGGTCATAACAGGAAAGAAACAAGGGGGAAAGAATCAATATACTTCCTGAGTTGGGATAAGGACAACACTTCTCTCATCTCCCTGGTCACTTAACTGCCATTTGGTGACACTTTACTAAGGGTCAAAGCACTGCCCAGAGGGCCTGGTCACAGCAGCAAGGAATTTTCAAAGTTGAACCTTAGAAGCCACTACCAAACAGCAGGTGCAGGCATCTTCTCCCACAATGAATGTTGGCTCTAGTCCTTCAAATCAAATTTCAACATTTTAAAACCATTCCATTTGGCTTTCACTTGAGAAATAGTACCACTTCGTTAAAAGCAACTTAACAACTCAGCTTTTTCATCACTTTTGTTCTCTAAATCATCTCTGATGGTTTCCTAGCTGGTGGCCCAACTGTATCTATATTCTTATTGGCTTCCGTCTCTGAATAATCCTTTCTCTGAAAACAGGTATCCCTTCTTCCCTGTGGGGACCTGTCATGGTCCAGTCAAAAGGGGTCAGAGGAACAAGGCAGCAGAAGTGCCTGAGGAGACAGGAGTAGGTGCCCCTGGGAATTCAGTAAGGACCCTTGTTCCCATCCTTGAAATGCTCTCTGGTTGGTTGTTTCGCCAACAGTCACTGGTGTCAAGCGGGGGTGCTCCCTCCAAAAACGACTGGTGCCCTGTAAATAAACCCCTTCATGGCTGTTAATGCACGGAGGAATCTCTAACCTGGCCTGTGGGCCGGGTGGAACTTCCATTTTCCCAGCGCTCCTTCTCTTGCCTCAGGCTCATTTTTCCACTTGGGCCCCCTCCCTCTCAGCTTTCCGGCACTTAGTAACCATTATAGTTCGACTGCATTCCTGGGCACATGACGTATTTTAAACAAAAACAATACAACATGCACCCAGGGTAAGCTATCAGGCCCCTTAAAATCTTGGCAATAAGTGAGTCCAGAGGGACAGAAATTAATCTAGGCAGTTATCTAGAGTCCTCTTTTATTTCACCTCTCCTCATTCACACCCCAAACCAAAAGTAAATAAATAAACCTAGTCTGAAGAAAAATGGCCAGAGGGCAGGTAAATGAAGGGGAAGAGAGGTCTTAAACCTACAGTCTCTAAGATCAGAGAACTCCTGATCACACACCAATTTCCCTCCCTGCCCCATCCTGAAGTTTGATTCCCCTTGATGCCACCAATGCTGCCTACCTGCATGGCTGGCATGATCACCATAAGCATAACTTCCTGCTGACTTGGAGATTAAGAATAGGAGGGCATCTGTCCACAAGTGTAGAACAAAGCCATCTCACGAGCACTAGGCTAAGGAAGGGGAACAGGGCTATGCAAAATGATGCTTGGGGGCTTGGAATTTTAACTTAACACTGTCTCTGATTTCTTTATTCTTCTTGCTCTCCAGAAAGCAGGTTTACCCCCATATTGTCTATAGCTACTATCTCTTCTACTAAAACTAAGATTTTGGCTTTAATGTACAAGTATTTAAATAGCCTAAGACAAAACTATTTATGCTTAGTGATAGACTAAGTCCTCCAATAGCCTCAGTAGCAGTGGTCTAATTAAGGTTCAAAAAAAAAAATCAATGAAAAATCATTATATTGTGTTAAATTGCTTACCCTTCTGGCCAGGGAACAGGGAGTAGTAGCCCCAACACGCAGGGTGAAGTGAAATTGTGGGGAACATGCCAGCATGAGGACAGGATCATCCACGAGGGGAGCATGGAGCAGACCCATATCTCCCTGACATTTGGAGGCCTCACCTTACTCATTCAACCTCACCTTCACAGCTCCATTCTTTGTAGCTGAACTCCAGCAAGTCCATCTCTTCTACATTCATTCCTATACCCATACCCTCTCCAATATTGCCAGCACCTGCCTACCTTTGTCCTTGACAAATGCTTCCTTCCCTCTCCTGGGCACTAGTCAAATTCACCCATTCTTCAAGATCCAGCTTAAGCCTCTGCTTCCCTGAATCCTCCAAGCATTCCTCTCACTGTCATACGAACACTTAGACTGAAATTATCACAAACCTAGGCTTGTTAGCTTTTCACAGCTATATGTCCTGTTTGTCCAATACAGTCATAAATTCCACAGAATTAAGTCTTAAGCCTCTTAATACTTCTAAAAGTGGATCTCAACCAGCATGCTTCTAGCAGTGGTATACCAGGAACCCTGAATAAGCATACCATCAAATTTTAAATAATTTATAGAATTTATTTTCATTCAACTAAAGATCCACGCTTTTATGAAGCTTTCTGTCAGACATACCACCAAGCCACAAAGTGGCTCATGACAACCAGTTGCTGCAAATAAGAGGAAGATTGCATGTTCAGAAAAATAAATGTGAACTTTACCTCAAAGGATATAAGAGAACAAGGTGAGGGCAGTAACAGTTCTACTCAAATACTAACATGCCAGATGGTAAACAAGTAAATAGACAGGTTTTTCAACTTTCTGAAACT